CGCTCGCGCGGCCGCGTTCTGGACCAGGAATACCATGTTGTTATTCAAAGCATTGATTTACACTGAATACTAAGTTCTGAGTCCCATCCTGAGATAGCTACAGGATGCCATTGTGCCAATATATTGGGGGCACCTGCTGAGTTCCAAATGCAGCTATGTTGCCTTTTTTAAAAAAAAAGGATCTTTCATTACAAATTGAGAAGCTAGCATCCTGTAAAACAATGCACGGCCTTGAATATTGCCTTCATTTCCAAGAATGATTCCAGGTTCTGGGGACAATCTTGAAAGTAAAAATGAGAGTAAGCTTTGGAAATAGGATTACCACATTAATGAGTGTTTGGTACCCAGAGCATGCATTTAACATCCAAATGGTTACAACCGCCAGAGAGTTCAAAGACCTTTGTGCTAAATCATTGTGGCACTTTATCGAACTCTGGCTTAGCACATTGTGTGAAATTAGCTACTGTGGTTTCCAAAACATGGTTTATAACAGTGTTTCTCAACCTTGGCAACTTGAAGATGTCCGGACTTTAACTCCCAGAATTCCCCAGCCAGCATTCGCTGGCTGGGGAATTCTGGGAGTTGAAGTCCGGACATCTTCAAGTTGCCAAGGTTGAGAAACTCTGGTTTATAATTTACCTGAGATGTGAACAGAGCTAATTGTGATATATTCAAGAAAACATGTCCAAACAAACCATGGCTGAAAATATGAGGTCATCACATCAGGCGAGACATGGTTTAAGGAGGGTTTATCCAAACCAACCATTATTATCTGGGCTATGTAACATCCTGTTATAGACCATGTTTTATATACTAGGCAGACTGGGGTCACATGGCACATTAAACCCAAACTGAACAAACCACATTATAATTCAAACCAATGTATGAATCCAACCCTTATTGTTTTTATTATGAATTGTTCAGTTGATGGTATTATGAGGAGAGGTCAAATTGTCTTGAAGAGATCTTCCCATATGCTTGCTTTGCTCACCAATTGGTTATCCAAGAGCTAGCAATACTCCCATTGGTCCTCTGCTCTGTCAGTTGGAGGGCTTGGTCTTCATCTGATGAATAAATAACCTGAAATTGGAGCTGGTTAATTTACTCTACAAGAGTTTCTGTGAAGAGCTGAAGATTCCCTTGAAACTTCCTACTCAGAAAATGTAAGTGGTTTCCAAGTTTTTTTTAGAATTGTATTTATGCTGTTAAGAAGAATGTGTTCATGTATAACACCAGGGATGATATTGGCAATGTGAACAAGGAATGCTAGTTTCACTTTCTCCTTTATCTCCAGAGTTTCTAAAAGTGAATTCATGGAACATTTATAAGCCATCATGTAGCCTGCTTTTTAGTGTAGTAAAGCCAATTTTATTCAATTTTTTTTTTTTAAAAAAACCCCAACTTTACATGTTTGCATTTTATCATTAAATTTTACCAGGTTACATTTTTATACTCTAATGTAACATAAGGCTACATGTATTTTAGATAACTTCTATATAGAACAATTGGCCATATTTTGCCTTGGAAATGTAAAAGCAGTGTAGCTTAATCAACAGCTGTGGTGGCCTAAAGGTGGAGCTCTTGCCTCAAATCAGGAAGTTGTGAGTTCAATCCTAAGTAGAGTCAGATGTAGGGTCTCCTGCTTGGGCAGGGGGGGTTAGACTAGATGACCTACAAGGACCCATCCAACTTTGCTACTTCATGAAGCAAGGTTGCAACTCATGAAGGGAATCCCTTCTTAGATTCCTGCCTTGTGATAACCCATGTTTTAATTAACTCTATACAATAAGCCATAATTTCTGGGTTCCTACCCAAAGCTAAATTATAAAATACGATTTCCAAGGCACAATTGCAAGCTTCTATAAGTCAAAACAATTGTGGCTTAATAAGTAAGAAGACTTTCTGATTGGGTTCACCCATCACTTTAAGCTACAATCTGGGTTAATTGGTTTTTCCTTAAAATGGGGAAGCTACAGACAATTTATTTAATTCCCGAAGTTGCTGGAAAGAAAGTTCTATTTAAAAAAATGCTGGAAAAAAAGTATGATGTGCAATAATAAGCTTATCATTTGTTCTCCTTTAGCAGGTCTCACACGCAATCATGTCTTTGCTTCCTCTGCATCTCCTGCTTGGGAAAAGCTACTGTTGCCCATTTCAATGGAGGCAAAGTGGAGGCAAGCTCAACAGAGAAGGAGCACCATCAATGTTTCTTGAGCTGCAGGTATCTTGAAAGAGTTACAGGTACCACTAAGGGATATTTTTGTTCTTCTAGGCTAGAATATCCAGTGACTCCCGGAAATAATGAAGAACAGCCTTCAGTTATGGAGAATAATGAAACGCAGCAGGTAAGTTTGTCCTCAGTGAGTCTAAACTAATGAATAATATCAGTAGACATCTGCATGTAATTTAGATAGGATAATAAAATTGCAGGGCCAATTTAGACTTGAATGCCAAGTAATATTTAACGCAATAGAAACAGAATGTTTTATATAGAACCATGCTATTTAATTTTAATTAAAGATAATTAAATTAAATTAATTAATTTTCCCCAGCCCTGTTTTTTTTTAAGTAGAATTCCTCAATCCATCATTCAAAAGCCAGGGTTTTTTTTTTTGTACCAAAGTCTCCATGAACGTGAAATGCTTCCAAAACACACAGAGCAGCCTATTCCACCCTTGAAATAATTGAAACATGATTGACTGCTTGGTATCTTAATGGTTTGACATTTTCCATCCTATAAAATGTAGAGCGAGGACCAGTTTGGTGTAATGGTTAAGTCACCACTATAGGAACCCAGGATAGCAGAAGTTCTAGTCCTCATTTATGCACAAAGCCAATGGGGTAGAGGGTGGGGACTTGCTTTACACTTCCAAAAACTTGCCAAGGTTTTGCCAAATTCCAGAGATTAATCTAGGTGGTCACCAGGAATAAGATACTGATTCAAAGGCGCCTGGGCTGCAAAACTTAAGGCAACCACTAGATGGCAGTGAAAATAGAAGACTTAAGTTTGGCGCTCTTCTGAATTTTTGGGAAGCCTGTATCTGAGCCTTGCAATATGCAAGGCGGAAGGGATGGCCAGTCCTAGATGTGTTCTTCTGACCTGGAATGTCAGCAGTTTTTCTAGGAATTGTCTATTGTTCTTCCATTCTACAATGAGAACTTTCCTAACTTCCTGTCCTAGAAGGTACTAAACCTAATGCTAGCAGACAAAGCTTATTTGAATCCCTGGCATTGCCATCTATAAATAAGGGGGGCTTTTCCTTGGAATTAATGGATAGTCTGCCTTTTGGGTTGGGGGCATATTTTAGCATGTTGAGAACAAGGAATGGGCACACTCACAAAATGGCTACCCCTGGAAGATTGCCTTCTCATAAAAATAGCTGCTATGGGGTGAGTGTGGCTCATTTCTCTCTGGGATATTTTTATGGGTTCCACCACAAAACCGCGGTAGACTAAAGCGCGCTCGACGAAAGTGCGTACGTGACGTCATCACAGCGTGATGAAAACAGCACGCTGTGAGCGGTAAACTTAAAATTAACGCGTAAATCTAAACCTAACCCCCCCAAACCTAACCCTAAACCTAACCCTAAGCCTAACCCTTAACCTAACCCTATACCTAACCCTTAACCTAACCGTAAACCTAACCCTAATGCTTAATGTAACCCTAAACCTAACCCTAACCCTAACCCTAACCCTAACCCTAACCCTAACCCTAACCCTAACCCTAACCCTTACCTTTATATGAATCAGCTTGCTTTAAAAGCACTTTTTAAAGCGCCCTTTTTTCTCCGCGGTCGTATTTGTCGCGCTGCTGATGACGTCAGGTACGCACTTTAATCGGGCGCGTTTTAGTGGACCGCGGTTTTGTCGTGCCACGATTTTTATGTGGTGCAAAAGGATACTTCATAAAAGTAACATTTGGAGTTTTCCTTGTAGCGTGCCAGCTTTCTGTTTTAATCTTAATTTCTACTTAACTTCCTAAATCTTTACATTTTCTTTTCCTTTTATTAAAAGAAAAAGGTCATGTGTACAAAAAGACTCGTAAGATACCCAAGTACAGAGTATGAGGACATATTGATTCCAATGGGCATTATGTGCTCTGTGTCTTATTTTTTTTCTTTTTGTGCTACTCTAAGTTGAGTATCGAGGCAGAGAACAATCGGTTGGGTAACTGTGATTTAATTATCAAATCCTGAAGTATAACAAATTTAGATAGCTGCTTGGTATAACAATCTACATATTGTATGTTTTTGGTGCCTATGCCAAACAAATGCTAAAATGTTGTGAATGACCCAGTGCGGTTGGGGAGAAAGATTATCCAAAGGTACTGCTAACACAATTGTGTCCGAACCACCCCTCATCTTTTGGGTGCCTTGTTTGATTTTGGATCTTCCAGAACTTTCCGCTAAGAAAGGTTGTTTAGTCATGTAAGGCTGTGAGTTATATTCCCAACACATACGGAGGATACTCAAGGAAACCTTGTCTCTAAAGCAGGGGTCTCCAACCGTGGCAACTTTAAGCCTGGTGGACTTCAACTCCCAGAATTGACGTCCTCCATGCTTGAAGGTGGCCAAGGTTGGAGACCCCTGCTCTATAGGTATTAGCTGTAGTCACATTTGAATATTGGGTTTATTTACTAACCTTCCCTCCTATCATATCCCAAAGGATGTTCTTTCAAGAGCTACCAGCCTACCTCTTGTCAGCTCCACTTATGAAATGGCAGCTTCGGCTTATACCTCGACTAAGGAGAACCACCCCTATGTTAAAGTTGCCCTGGATTTGGCAGAGAAGAGCGTGAAGCATGTCTCCGAGGTGGCTATGAGTAGTGCTCAACCTTTTCTGAATAAGCTTGAGCCCCAAGGTAAGGCACTGCCTTCATTCTCAAGATTTTTGTAGTAGAACAAGACAGCAAGACTTTGGGGCACCTCACAGCAATGGTGGCATTCAGCCAGTTCGCACCAATTCGGGAGAACCGGTTGGTAACTTTCTAAGTAGTTCAGAGAAGCGATTATTGGAAGAAATCTCCTTTTGTTTTTTTCCACTTTACAGGGCTAATCCTGTAAGGAAGGCAGGAAGGAAACATTCTGGGGTTGTTTCTAGCCTAATCTTTCTTGCCCTGCTTACAGAAACTGCCTCTCTGGTTAACCCTTATTACATTGTATCAATGTATACATTG